TGTCACCTAGGCATTTTATCCGGCCCAGAGCCTCCGTAATATCCAGGTGGCACCCATGGAACCCTCTCTGGAGCAAGGAGAGGAAGATCACGTCCTGCACTGCGCTTTCTCCCGAATCACGCCATTGCTTGAGCATTATGGGGACCTGGCCAGAGCATGTGGGCCCCTGAGCCTGCTGCTGCGCATGAGCATGCCCAGGGGGCAACTCGGGCCAGCTGCTGTGGACTCCCTGTGCTGATCCAGGAGAGGCTAGAGCTCTCCAGACCCAAACCACAGGCTCTGGGAGGGACAGGAGGGGCTGTATGATGAGGCCACCTCCCACTACTTCCATAACCACACAGAGGGTCCACTCGGTGAGCATCAGAGACTGGAACTAGCCCCACTCAGGGAGAAAAAAATACATGAGATGAGTAAACCCATACACACGGACATTAAAGTTTTATAAGCTGACTCAACTGTAATTCTAAAATGTAACCAAATAACTTATACAGCAAAAAGATCAAAAGGACACGACTGTCTTTTTGCCTGTGCAGCACAGTGCTGAGGGCAGGACAGCTGGTGACCGAAACCGGGTCAAGGTACAGTGGTAGTTGGGACCTGCACGGGTGAACGTGGACGGTCCTGTAACCTTCGAGAAACAAGGGCAGCGAGGGGCGAGCCCTACCTCAGCCATAGGGGGACCTGCATCCCCACAGGCAAAGGCGGGTGCACCCCAAGATGGCAGTGGCAGCAAACCTCCTGGGCCCTCTTCCCCCAGACCTTGACGCATCCCAAGATGGAGCTGCTGCATAGAATCAACCTGCCCGCACCTGGCCGCAGGCCTCTGGGTGTTGGTGCCAGTGGGTGTTGGTGCCAGTGGGCTGGCAGCAGCAGTGGTGGCAGTGACAGCAGCCACAGTCTTAACTTTCACTTAATTGCTTTGTTCTTGACTCATTTATCATGTAGCCTTAATTTGACTTAGTTGGGTAAAATTTATCCATGGGTTTGAGTGTTTTGGTCTTACATTTGTGTGTTTGTTTGTACCTTGGTTTTTGTCCTTATTAATGCACCCCTTTAATCTCTCTTACACTATTAGCAAAATTCCCTGTTCTAAAGTATTTTTTTTTCATTTTTATTACCTTTTTCTCCATCCCTATGGTCATTGTCTGCTACTTTTCTCTTGTCTTCCTCCATTCACTTTTTAAATATTTTAGATTTTCTCTTGCCTCAATGGTTTATTTTCCTTTCACTTGACAACTTTCTGATATAGTTAAGTAATTTGTATAATTCCTACCCTACTTGTGTAGTGATTGTTAATATGGTGGATGATGTAGTAGATGCCCCTGTTTAATGCCTGATCTAGCTCAGGTTTTTATTGTTGGTTCAGATGTTAGATGATGACCCCCTCCATTCCTATACAAATGACAATTGGTGCTATGAATGTCAAACATTTATCTTAAGTTTATACAACTGTTGCCAACATTAGTGCTACCTTTGGCTCTCCCTTTTTCCAAGAGAGGCTGACAAGTGATTGAAATACTTCAGACTCATAGAGCAGAGATCCTGGTGCCAGGAAATTCTCACAACTCAGCCAAGTAACAGGGAATGTCACTCCACAAAACATCTAGCCCTATGTGAGCCTCAACAACATTTCAACACACAGAACTGGAAAGATGGATACTCCAGAAGAATAATCAGTTAAAACATAGCCACCAGCCAAATAAAGATCAATAAAAATATTTCTGACCCAAATATTGCTATAAACCAAATGAACCACATAAACACATGGAGATTGAACACTACTCTTTTAAAATGAAGAATGGATCATAAAAGAAATGATTAAAACAATTGAGAAATTCTCAGAAACAAATGAGAACATAGATACAATAGACCAAAATCTCTGGGACAGAGAAGAGCAATTCTAAAGCAAAATTTTTGAGCATCAAGTGCCTACTTTAAAAAAAAAGGGAGTTCCCAAATAAATAGGCTTATGTTCCAACTCAAGTCTTTAGAAAGCAAAAGAACAAACTAATTTCAAAATCAGTAGAAGACAGAAAATAATTAAGATTAGAAATGAAATTAATGAAAGAAGAAAGAAAACAATTTGCAGTTTCAATGGATTAAAGAGTTGCTTCTTTAAAAACACAAACAATATTTGTAAACCCTCAGCCAAACTAATTATAAATTGTGGGGGAGGGGGAGAGAGAGAGAGAGAGAGAGAGAGAGAGAGAGAGAGAGAAGACCCAAATCAACAAAAGTAGAAATGTAAGATGAATTAACCTCACAATTCTTCTGAAAATCAGAGGCATCATTAGAAAATTTATTCTTCAATAAACAGGACTATCTGGAGAGATTCCCTTCTTTACAACAAAACCTAAGAAGCCTAACCCATACATTGACTTGCTCATTCCTGGAAATCACCTCTTCTCTCAAGACCTCTAGTTTCATTAAATGAGGATATTTTACAGATCAATCCCTGGTCACTGGTGTGCTCACTGATACTGAGCTTTCAAAGGTTTGAAACCTTCTAAGCAACAGGTATCTGCACGTGCATATGGAATACACATTCATATTCATGATTCCTGTCTATATTAAGTGAATTGGTAATAATAATACATTTCTGTTAGTTGATAATCTATTACTATTTCATAGAGGGGATATATCTATACATATGCATACATACACATATACACATTTAGAAATATAGAAAGTTGCCTCCATTTCAATCCAGAATACAAAAGGGCACACGTTCTCCTTCCCCTTCATATTTGTATATGAAAAAATCACTGAAAAGTGATTGAAACACTTCAGACTCACAGAAAACTAAGGTTTCCACCTATGAGAAACTTAGATTTCATTAACTTTAATATACTTTCTCATTTTTCTAAGCCTACACTGCAGAGAATTTCTTATAGTGCTTCAAAGACAAAACCTACTGAATTGAGTTTATTGTTATGTACAATGCTTGTGACACAATCCACAGATACCATGCACCCTTCCCATCCAGATAGGAACACCCTCCTCAGACTGAGTTAGTTGAGAAAGCCCCGGGCACTGCACCAGCCATGGAGAGATGCAGCTCAGGGATTTGGGCCTTGGTCAGAAGCTTCATCCTGGATCTGTCCCTACATGATAGTTTGAGGTTGTCTCAATGGGACTGGAAAAATCACTTCAAGGCTCCTGGTCCACAGGGCTCTGTGCAAGAGACTCAGATTCCCTGGCCCCTTTATAGGACCACATGACTGTAGTCATGGTGTGGTGCCATCTTCTCACAGAACGCACTGCTGGGGACCCAGGTGGACCTGCCCTTGAGGATGAACCTTGCATGTGCAAACTGTTATCTTTATCATTGGAGGGTCAGCCCTTACTTAGCAAAGGCAGCAGCACCTGGACACCAGGGCAAGGACCCCAGGAAGCAAGCATGATGAGAGGCCACCTTGGGGGATGGTACCCAGCACTGGATGCCAGGACCTCCAGGGGGCAGGTGCTGACTGTGCCCTGGGTTCACATCATGCACACACCCCTGCACAAGGGGAGCAGAATGTCCCTCTCCAGACTGTCCTTCCTCCCCTTCTAGGTAGCCCTCCCTGACCCTCATACATGGCTGTGTACAGTTTTCTTACACCTCAATTCTGTCATCTAGCACAGTGTCTTTGATAATCCTGTATCGGTTGAATGTGTCAGGGTTTTGATTCTAAAATGTCAAATTGTCAAATTTTGGGCTGAGATTGTAGCTCAGTGGTAGAGTGCTTGCCTTGCACTCATGAGATCCTGGGTTCAATCGTCAGCACCACATAAAAATAATTAAATAAAATAAAGATATTGTATCCACCTACAACTAAAAAAAAATAAAAAAAACAAATTGTCAAATTTTCAAATTCATTTTGTGAATCAATTACAATTTATTCATACAGTTTTCAAGTGAGAGTCATTTGTGTTGGTCCCAGGTATTAGATATCATTAATAAGGCTGCTTGAAGTTTTAGTGCCTGCTCATGTGTTCACATGTTTTCATTTCCTTCCAACATGTAACTATGAGGATCGTAGGATGCTTTTCTGGTTACCTTCATGAGAATATGTCATAAACCTTCCCTGAGCTGATGTGTGACTTTGCTCTCCAAACTGCAATGTGTGAGAATTCAAATCTCTCTTTAATTCCCTGGGGTTTTGCTCACCTGAGCTAATCTGTGGGTGGCATTTAGGACACTTTGAGCTTCCTATCAATGTTTCTGGGGTATGTGTCTTACTTTGTTTCTCAGAGGCTCCATTTATGCAGCTGGGTGACTTTGGGAGGAAGGGGAAGTCTTGGAACTGACCTTCCAGTTTGGCCTTTAATCTACTTTTGGCAGCTCAGTTTGACCACTTACCTTGGGATCTACAAAATGTATAAGAATCTTAGCCTATGGTTAGCACAGAGCAGAGAATGGCTAAATGGACTTGAAGTAGTCAGTGAGCACTGTGAATTACTGCTCAAGGTTTACTGATTTTACATTGGAAGATGAAGAGTTCCTTGAAATTTTATATACACCCTGTGTCTCTTAATGTAATTTTGGTAAAAATGGCACAATGGATTCTCAATATCAAATTGACTGTATGCCACGAATTTACATAACATTTGTTAATTAAATATATAAAAATTGATAATGATGATAAAAAAATATGTTATATAATGTAGGGACTTGGAGAGGGATATATGGTGCTTCTTTTTTTTAAAAAAATTTCATACTGATATTTTTCTTTATATTTTTTATAATTTAGATGATTTATTTTTATTTTTTTTAAAGAGAGAGAGAGAGAATTTTTTTTTTAATATTTATATTTTTAGTTTTTGGCGGACGCAACATCTTTGTTTGTATGTGGTGCTGAGGATCAAACCCGGGCCGCACACATGCCAGGCGAGTGCGCTACCGCTTGAGCCACATCCCCAGCCCATATATGGTGCTTCTTGAATAAAAAACTCTTTGAGTACAGGTGTGTCAGTTGCTACAAGAGGCAAGTTTATTGAGGTCATGGCTCTGTGTATAAAACCGAGTTCAGGTCACTGATTTTGGATCAAAGAAATTTTTGGAAATAGGCAGCACTTGATGTTTAGCTCTGAAGAACCAATAGGTTATTAGTGAAAGTAAAATACTCTGAATTGACAGTGAGGCAAGGTGAGAAACATCAAAGAGATGTTTGTTGAGAAATGAAGCTAATCAGTTTCAGTAGTAATTAGCTAGGATGGCAGAGTTTAATGAGCAGTGGAACTGGCCACGTGAGCAGGACCACCCTTAGTCCCCCAAGACTGGGAGAAGCCAGGGCCCTTGGGGGTTCCTCTAACCCCAGCCCTGCAGCATCCTGGCTGGGGAATGGCCACTGCTTTCATTGTCTATGAGGATGACCCCTGGAGACTCTAGAGAAAGCGAGAACCACCTGGCACCTGGAGGATCTTAAAAGCCTGTTTTCCTCCTGGGATATGAGGCCCAGGGGAAAAATATGGCTTCAAAGGCTGGGTGAACTTGCTTTTGAAAGTATAGAGAATGGAAGATGCCTTCACATCATAGAAAGAGATCAACCCTTTCTCATACTGTAAAAATATCCCCACTATTTTAAGGGGTGGGTTTTCAACATTAACAACAAAACGTGGCACAGAAAGGGCATCATACCTCCTATCAATCCGGGAAATGGACCAGAAACCATTCTCAGGACTGGTGTAATTATATGATATTTTTCGTTTAACTGAATCCAAGCAGAGCCCTACATTCCACGTGTACTTGTCTGGTACTTCAACCTCCCAGTAGTGAAGGCCACTAGAGAAGCTCTTTTGGCCCAGCACAAATGGGGCAAGAGTAAATGGAGCAGATTTATCAGGAACATCTTGCTTCATAGGCAGGGTTTCCACATGTTTCCCACCATGTGACACATGAAGAGAAGGGTGAGCTGTGTCTGCATCCAGTGTGATGTCCTCTGCAGAAGGAAGGAGATGAGTCACTTGTGAGCATAAGAAAAGACACTGGGGGAGGGGGGGAGTTAAGGTAGAGGAATAGAGAGGGTCACTTTCTTGGCAGTTCTGTGGTGTGAGACCAAGAAATACACAGGTAGATTATCAGCAAGGTAGGTGAACAAAATAAGGTGTTTGTGTGGGGGGGTTCAATTGGAATTTAAAGCAGATCAAGGACTCAGGAGGTTGAATATAATAAAATAAGGAAGAAATCCCCAGTGCCGCAGCCACTATTGGGGATGGAGGCACCAGCCAGAGTGGTCCCTCCACCAGCAAAGTGGAGGGAGAAGAGAATTAAAGTTACCTGCATTATAAGGAGGCCTGAGGTATGTCTGGGTCCAAAGAGTTTAGACACCAAAACCACTATCCAGCTAAACTAAAAGTTGCACTGCATTGCATCCCTTTGTGGGAAAGAAGCCCCTTCTCTCCTACCTACCTGAAGAGGACAGAAGAATCATTTTGCAGCTATGGCATGGAGGCAGCAGCTGAGGGCACAAATTCCTGGCTAACTCGAGTTTATCCCAAAATATAGGTCTAGAAAACCCACACTTCATTACACAGAATGTGCCTAAGTAACCTGGAGAAAATCAAACTGGGAGAGAGGTTTACACAGGGGACATAGGTCCTGGAAACCCACCCAGCTCTTCCCCTCCCCCTCCAAGCTGCTGTTTGCAGGACAAGCTTAGAGAGACCCACCTAGCTGGGAATTTGATAGGGTGGGGCTGGAAAGAAGGAGTTTGGAGACTGAACCCAAGACCAGGAAATGTGAGGTCTGCAGGTGACATAGTGGACTGAGAATTTGCTCCTCCATCGCATGAGTGAAACTCAGGGAGATCCTGGGGTGCAGACTTCCAGCATGGATGGGCAGTTGCTGGGCCCTGGAGATGCCTGATTTAAAATCTCCAGACCAACTGGCATGCAGGGAAGGGCCTGGAGCCCCACCATGCCTAAACCCCACCTCTAGGAGTTCCACCTATGGCATTGCCTCTGTCACTCTAGCAACCCCACCCTGAGGGAGGAGCAAGCATCACACTCCAGAGAACCTCACCTAACACTGCTGAGAAAGGAGTGAGAATCTTAAACTGCAACAGAAAAATTCTTTAATTTTCTTTGAGTTTTTTTCCTTTCTCCTTTTCAGTGTATAATTGTGACTTTGATAATTCATGGACATTTATACATATTCATATTTGTGAGTTGTTTCTCATTCCTAGCAGTTTTGAAGCCAGTTATCTTTCATAAATTAGTTTTAGGAAGACTAGGATGTTTGATTAGTATATTTCAGTTTTTGAAAATCTTCTTTTATATTTATTTATGGAACTTTTAATTTACATATGTAAATATATTAAATATATATTATATAAAATATATATATTTTTCTACCTTTTCTCTTTCCCTGGATTCTCTTTCTCTCTTTTCTTCTGCTAACAGCCGATCTCTATTGTTCTCTCTTTCATGACTCCTTTAATGTTTTACTTCTATCTTCTCTCCTCTTCCCTCATAGTCAGCACATCTTATATCATTTCTGTTCTCTCCCTGTCCACCGTATTCAAAATTGTAAACACTTTTTGCAAACTCATTGTTTTTTTTTGTGTAGGAAATAATGTATCATTTCTATTTATTGTGACAATTAACATTTAGAAGTCATAGCAGGAACTTTTGTTTTAATGCTGTGTATTGTTTGCATTGTTTGTTGTTATTATTTGTTTCCCCTTAAATGGTGAGATACTGGAAACCTTCAGGGACACTATAAGTTCATAGGGTAGAATTTCTACTGCCTCAGATCCATAGTGTTAGATTTGTACATATACACAAACAACAGGAAAAAGCAATGGAACAAATCATGATACTTGTTGTCCCAAACAAACCAAGATACCTCAATAATTGACATCATAGTGGAAGAAATCCATTGACATCACAGTGGAAGAAATGTCAGAGAAGGAGTTCAGAATGTACATAGTTACGTTGATCTATGAGGTAAAGAATGATGTAAGGAGTGAAATCAGAGGAAAAATACAGAAAGTGAAAGATCATTTCAATAAAGAGATAGAAATTCTGAGAAGAAAAATCAAGCAGAAATCCTCAAAGTGAAGGAATCAGGAAACCAAATTAAAAATTCAATGGAAAGCATCACCAACAGACTAGACCACTTGGAAAACAGAGTTTCAGGCAATGAACACAAAATGTGTAATCTTGAAAATATAAGTTGACCATGGAGAAGAGATATTAAGATACCATGAACAGAACTTCTGAGAAATATGAAATAACCTGAAAAAAACAAATTTAAGATGTATAAGGATAGATGACGACTCGGGGGGTTCAAATCAAAACAATGCCCAATCTTTTCAATGAAGTAATATAATTTCCCAAATCTAAAGAATGAAATAACAAATCAACTGCAGGACGCTAACAGAACCACAGATATACAGAATTAGAACATGCCTTTCCAAAGGCACATTATTATGAAAATGCCAACCTGAACTAGGATAGAGTTTTAGAGGCAGCCAGATGACAGCTCACATTTATAGGGAAACCAATCCAGATCTCAGCTGATTTATCCACCAAGACCCTCAATGGTAGGAGGTCTTTAAATGATATATGCCAATCTCTGAAACAAATTGGATGCCAGCCAAGAATACTATACCCAGCTAAATTAAGCTTTAGAATTGATGATGAAATAAAACCTTCCATGATAAACAGTGTTAAAAGAATTCACAACTAGAAAGTCTGCACTATAATACACACTCAATTAAGTATTTCCTGAAAAAGAAATAAAAAATAAAAGTGAAAACTAGCAAAGGGGGGAAATACACTAAAGAAATAGTAAATCGAGGGAGAAACTAATTCAAATTAAAAATCATAAATCAATCACAATGATAAGAATAACAAAAATCATTTCTCAGTAAAAACATTGAATGTAAATGGCCTTAACTCATTAAGGAAAAGATATAGACTGGCAGATTGTATTAAAAAATAAGTCTCAACTATTTGCTGTTTCTAAGAAACTGATCTCATAGGCAAAGACATCCACAGACCGAAGGTCAGAGGATGGGAAGAAATCATGTCATTTACATGGATCTAGTAAACAAGTAGGGGTTTCCATCTTCATATCAGATAAAGTGGACTTGAAGGCAGAGTTAATCAGAAGAGACAGAGAAGGAAATTTCATACTTTTAAAGGGAATTATACATCAACAGGACATATCAATCATAAACATTTATGCCCCAAACAATGAAGCATCTATATGTATCACACAAACCCTTCTCAATTTCAAGAATCAAATAGACAACAATAGAATAATACTGGGTGACTTTAACTCACCTATCTCACCACTGGATGGATCCCCCAAACATAGACTACATAAAGAAGCTACAGAACAAAAAATTACAATTAATAATTTGGATGTAACAGACATATATAGACTATTTAATCCATCAATAACTAAATATGCTTTCTTCTCAGCAGCACACAGATCCTTCTCTAAAAGAGACCATATCTTATGCCACAATGCAACTCTTAGAAAATACAAAAAACAAAGATAATACCTGGCATTTTATCAGATCATAATAGACTAAAATTAGAAATCAACGATAAAATAAAAAATAGAAGCTACTCTAACACTGGAGACATTTAAATAATTTGCTGTTGAATATCCAATGGGTAGCAGAAGAAATCAGGGATGAAATTAAAAATATTTACACATAAATGAGAATAGTGATACAATATACAAAATCTCTGGAACACTATGAATGCAGTACTAAGAGGAAAGTTCGTTGTATTGAGCTCATTCATTAAAAGAATAGAGGGTCAACAATAAATAGTTCAATATTATATCTTAAAGCACTAGAAAGAGAACAAATCAACATCAAAAGCACTAGAAGACATCAAATGATTAAAATTAGTGCTAAAATCAATGAACTCAAAACAAACAAAAAAATCCCCCCAAAAAACCAATGAAAGAAAAAGTTGGTTCTTTGCAAAAAATAAATAAAAATGATAAACCCTTAGCCAAGCTAACAAAGAGAGAAGTTTCATATTACTAAATTACTTGCTATAATTAATTAATTATTTGCTATGAAAAAGGAATTATCACAGGGGACACTACTGAAATAGAAATAATAATCAGAAATTATCCTGAAAATTGATACTCTAATAAAATAGAAAGTCTTGAGACATCAGAAAATTTCTAGAGACATATGACCTATGCAAACTGAATCAGGAGGACATAGAAAATTTAAACAGATAAATTTCAAGCAATGACATTGTAAATGCCATCAAAAGCCTACCAACAAACCAAAGCCCAGGACCAGATGGATTCTCAGTGGAGTTCTACCAGACCATCAGAGAAGAACTAACACCAATCCTCCTCAAATTATTCCATGACATAGAAAAGGAGGGAACCCTTTCAACTCATACCATGAAGCTTGTATCACCCTGATACCAAAACTGGACAAACATATGAAGGAAAGAAAACTTCAGACAAATATACTTGATGAACATAGATGCAAAAGTTCTTAATAAAATACTGGCAAATTTCCTACAAACACATATTTAAAAAATGGTGCACCATGATTAAGTGCGGTTCATCATAGGGATTCGACTTTGGTTCAACATGTGGAAATCAATAAATGGAATTTATCATATCAATACATTTAAATAAAAGAATCACATGATTAACTTGATAGATCCCAATAGAGAAAAACTGAAAGCATTCCTTTGAAAACTGGAACAAGACAGGAATGCCTTCTTTCCCCATTTCTATTTAATAGTCCTGGAAACCCCAGCCAGAGCAATTAGAAGAAAAAAAAATTAAAGCTTTATGAATAGGAAAATAAGAACCCCAAACTATCACTATTTGCTGATGACGTGATTCTATTTTTAGAAGACCCCCCAAAAAACAGCAACAGAAAACTTTTAGAACTCATAAATGAATTCATTAAATTAGCGAGATTTAAATTAATACCCAAAGATCAATTGCTTCCCTACATCAGTGATGAATCAACTGAAAGAGAAATTAGAAAAACTACCCCATTTACAATAGCCTCAGAAAATGTTTGGGAATCAATCTAACAAAAGAGATGAAGGACAATGAAATATAATGAAAACTACAGAACATTATGAAATGAAATTGAAGAAGGCTTCAGAAGATGTAAAGACCTCCCATTCTGCAGGATAGGTAGAATTCATATTGTGAAAATGGCCATACTACCAAAAGCACTATACAGATTGAATGCAGTTCCTATTAAAAGTCCAATGACATTATTCATAGAAATAGAAAGAATTCATAAAAATAATTTGGAAAAATAAGAGGCCCAGAAGAGCCAAAGCAATCCTGAGTAAGGAAAGAGAAGCAAGAGGCATCAAAGTACCAGACCTTAAATTACACTACAGAGTTATATTAACAAAAAGGGTGGATACTGGCACCCAAACAGACATGAAGACCAATAGTACAGAACAGAAGACACAGAGACAAACCCAAATAAACACAGTTATCTCACTCTAGACAAAGGTGCCATCAACATATATTGGAGAAAATACAGCCTCTCCAACAAATGATGCTGGGAAAATTGAAATTCCATATGCAGGAAAATGAAATTAAGACCGTATTCATCACCCTGCATGAAACTCGACTCAAAGTGGACCAAGGATATAGGCATTTGACGGGAGAGCCTGCACCTACTAGAAGAAAAAGTAGGCCCATCATGGTGGCCTAAGAACAGACTTCCTCAGTAAGACTCCTAAAGTGTAAGACGTAAAATCAAGAATCAATAAATAGGATGATATGAAACTATAAAGCTTCTTCTCAGCAAAGGAAACAATCAGGCATGTGAAGAGAAAGCCTATAAAAGAATGGGAGAAATCTTTGCCACCTGCACTTCAGATAGAGCACTAATCTCCAGGATGTATAAAGAACTCAAAAATTTAACATGAAAATAATATATAACCCTTTCAATTAATGGGCAAAGAAATGAACAGACACTTCACAGAAAAAGAAATATGATCAGTCAACAATTGAAAAAACGCTCAATATCTCTAACAATTAGAGAGGTGAAAATTAAAATTAAACTGAAATTTCTTCTCACTCCACTCAGAATGGCAATTATCAAGAATACATGTGAGAGAAAACACTGGTGAGGATGTGGGGAGACAAGGTACACTCATCCAGTGTTGGGGGACTGAAAATTGGTGCGATCACTCTGGAAAGCAGTATGGAGATTCCTCAGAAAATTTAGAGCAGAACCCAGTTATCCCAATCCTCATTTATACCCAAAGGACATAAAATCAGCATATTACAGTGATGCAGCAACATGAATGTTTATAGCAGCTCAACTCACAATAGCTAAGCTATGGGATCAATCTAGGTGCCCTTCAAAAGATGAATGGATAAAGAAAACATGGTACTTATGCACAAAGGAATATTATTCAGCCCTAAAGAAGAATGTAATTATGGCATTTGCTGGTAAATGGATGGAACTGGAGACTATGATATATTAAGTGAAATAGGCCAAACCCAAAAAACCAAAGGCCAAATGTTGTCCCTGATATGCAGATGCTCACACAACATAAGGGAAAATAGAAGTTCACTGGATTAGATGAAGGGGAATGAAGGGGAGGGAGCATGGGTAGCAATAGAAAAGGCAGTAGAATGAATCAGACATATCTTTCCTGTGTTCATATGTGAACACATGACCAGTGTAACTCCATATCATACACAGCCACAAGAAGGGGAAGTTACACTCCAGGTATGTATAACATGTCAAAATATAGTCTACAGACATGTGTAACTAAAAAGAGCAAATAAAAAAAATTATAACAAAAAAAGAAGAGACTCTTCACCTTCTCAGCCGGGGTCAAAGCAAAGAAGAGGAACAAGGCCCGTGTCCTTAAGGGCCCTTTTCATCAACACGGAGAGAAAATAAACACCACTCTGTCCATATCCAGTATACCATCCCCACTACTGATCTGAAGTTCATTTCCTGCAGGAAAGTACTCCAGACAGCTCCATCTGGGGAACAGATTTCTGTTGTCACCTCAGAGCTTGCAAGGCCTCAGCTGGTAGGAGATGGGTGGAGCATGGAAACCCCTTGGGAAAGGTCTTTACCAAGGTTTTGACACTCAGAAGGTCTCCAGGTGTTAGCACTAGGAACACCAGGCCCTCCATGAACAGAGGGGACATAACAGAAGGGTTGGGAAGGTCAAGGAGATGATCCCCCTGCTCAGCTCAGAGGCAGAAGCTCAGCAGTGGGTTCAGAGGGCAGGAGAGTGGCCAGTGCCACAGGAGGAGGGAGAGGGAGGAGGTGGAGCTAGGAGGCAGCAGGAGGGTGGTGAGGACCACTGAGGACCACGAGGGCCGTTGTCAGGCTGTGGGTATTTGTGGAACTGGGGTGGGAAGACAGCAGAGGATACAAATTAGGAAGGAGGATTCACAAGTGTGTAATGAGGCTGTTCTGGAGAGGGAGAGGGGAGTAGGAAAACAGCCAGACAGAGAGACTGGGTTCGCTGAGATTGCTGTTTACTTTATTGTTAAGAAAACTAAGGAGGAAAAAGAGGGTGTGTTCCTGTTGGTGAGAATGACCTGAGGGACATGGAGGGCTTGATTAGAATGGAGAGGAGAGAGAAGAGACCTAATCCTTCATCATCTCTTCATCATCACCCCAGAGAGTCCTGTGGTGGTGGTCACAAGGGGATGGTGGGGACTTACTCCTTATGGAGCAGAGCTTGCTTGTCAGGTCAGGAGGCCCTGAAGTGTCTGTGCTGCCCAGAGCTCATGCATGCATTTATGGCAGTCTAGCTAGACCAACTCTCCCATAGTGGGACTTGGGTTCTAACCAACTTAGGTCCCTACATGCAGTATCTAAGCATTGTCTTTGCCTACTTGCATCCTCTGGATCATTTGGGAAGAAATTTTCTTACACAATAGAATCCCGGACAGCTTAGAGGACAGGCATGAGGCCATTCTTAGCCATACCTCCTTCTCTGTGCACCTACCTGCATATCTCCGAGCTTCCTCCAGATCTGCAATGAGATGGACACATCCAGGGTTAGCTGGGTGACGGGGACAGTGAGGTTTTGCAGTAATGGGCATGCGGGACAAGGGGGACGGGCTTCACTTACCTATTCCTCCTATTGAACTTCGTTCCTCTGTAATCAATCACAGGGAGAGATCAGTGTTTGGAGGACAAAATGGCTGGAATTTTAAGTGAGCATAGAACAAAGACATAGAACTTACCAAGTTCTTCAGAGAGAGTCTCTAAAGAGAAAACACAGAGGTGAAGAAAGATGAGTCTCTGAGATGCCAATCAAGTTCATCCTGGGTTTTGCTATGTGATGGGAAGGGACCACTGAACATGTGGGCCATGTTGCTGGACTCTGAGGGGCACAGACTGATAGGACACCTTGTCTTATGTTCCCACACTGGACATGCCCAGTGCCTGAAATCCTGAATGCCCTGAGCCTTTACAATTTGCTTCTTATGTCCACCACAGTCTGCTGCTCATAAGTGGCCATTGCTCTGGGTCAGTTTATCTCCATGGCATTTCTGAGGCCACAGCCACTCTTTCCTGTCCACTCAGCACACACTTATTGAGGACGCACTTCAGTGCTGCTGCTGCTCTATGTACTAGGGACATCACCATGAGCAAATAGGGTCTCTTCCCCTCAGGGCCATTGAGAGACATCTGTCAATCATAGCTCAATGCTAGGAGCATGAGCTACAGAGAACAAATACCTCTGCTCCCCTGCAGACTTAGCAAGTGATTTTATTCATTTCGAATTACACATAAAATTTTCTGCAGGCCAGCGCCATCCTCAGAAGCCCTGAGCAGATAACTACCCAGTGGGCTTCTTGGGCTGCACCCAACTAACAAGAAGAAGGACTTTGTCACACACCTAATGTTAATGATTTGTATGAATGTGACTAAGTGACAGGCATTTGGCCTCTGTGACTGGTTTATGGAACCACCTGAAATCCTGTGGGTTCAGGATGAGAAACTCATTAGCACTGCCCATTAGCTCTTTAAGCAGACATCACAGATCCAGCTCTCCCAATGCATGTGGGTGTGAACTGGTCCCACCAATGCAGCCCCTCACCTGCAACCAGGGTCTACTACTCCTCTATGTTAGGGAATGGCTGCAGTGAATAAGGTCACATGGCCCCATCTGGTCACAAGCACAGAGCCATGCTCTGTGACCTTGAGGGAGTCATGGCTGCCGTGAACCATATCACATAGACTGATTTGTCACATGCACAGAGCTCCATGTGATGTGAGAGTTAGTGAGGCAGGGCAGAGAAGTCTTGGAGAGGACTCAATCCCTCCTGAACAAGTGGTTCTCCTTGTCTGCATGGGCAGACTAAAGCAAGCACACAGTCCAAGATGAGGTCAAGCAGAAGATTTGATTGTGCAGGTGAATGACCTCTTCCTCCTCAGGTGATTCCTCTGCAATTGTAATGATGAAGGATCCTGAGTCCATTTCCCTGTTAACTTTATAGCTATCCCATGAAAATTCCAAAAATGATGTGAGCCCCACTCTTCCCTTTTACCTTTGGCTTTTGTGGTCGTCATGAGGATAGCACTGATGACCGCCAAGCTGACAGCCACAAGAACATCAAACACAGCCAGCACCACAGTCCAGGGGCTGACCCTGGTGAACAGGTCACCTGGAAAACAGGACCATGGCGCTGAGATCTAGGCTGACTGCAGGTGGCCTGGCTGATGGGGACGAGTCCTTCCTGTTTCCTCATGGAGACGTCACCAGGCAGCAGAGACCCCAAGCCTCCCCAGCCCTCCCAGCACTCCTAAGGACCTCCACTTCCTGCCTCCCCCCAGCCTGGGCAGGCCCTGAGCTGCCCTGTCAAACAGGCAGCTGTGTGGACAGGCTGAAGAGAGGAAAGTAAC